ATATACACTGTTGGTCTCTGTCACTGCTTTGTCTTCTTTTTGGTTTGCTAGAGCCACTAACTGCCTCCATCTATATTCTGTCATCCCATACCTCTATCATTGCTGACACCGACTTTGGAACAGGCTCAGTGTTAGGGAACAGTTCCTGAGGGAGAGATTGATTCCCTTGGAAACAGACTGAGATGGAGAGTTGCATGCGGGTTTTTGGGAGAGTGCTCTTGGGAAATAAGAAAGTAAGGAAGTGAGGAAGCAGGAGCGGGCAGAAGAAGAGGTGAACTCACAATGTGGTTGCCATGGAAGCCTCAGCTGTCCTATGGGGAGTTCTGGAGCTGAGATAGCCCTTCAGAATTGTCCCAAATAGAGGTAATGGACCAGACCTTTGGATCCCTGCATCAGTCCATCATTGGTTTTGAGCCACCCCAGGAGGGGGTGTAACCTTGGTGAGACAGTTCCCTGTGGTTCAAGGCAATGTACAGTGAAGGATACAGTTGTTCAGCAAATACTAGTTTTTCTTCCCTTTCTCTTTCCTGTTCACTAATTTCTGACTCTCTTATTCCCAGGAGTTCATTCTCCATCGCAGTTTAACCACTGCCACAGATGGTTCTCAGATTTCATCCAGGCAGATCATGTTCTTGGTTTCTTAGTAGCACCTGAAAGAGGATTCATTTTCCTATACAAAGTTGTCTGAAAGCCTTGCTTTGTCTATTTGTCCTACGCCTAAACTAGTATCTTGTGTATTACCATTCCAAGCAGAGGAGAAACCAGACTCACCGGTGCCAGAAAGAAAATGAGCAAAAGCCACATTCCAGGACAGGCTTGGTTATGCCCAAAAGCCTCCCACCTTCACTTCCTGCCCCTCTCCCCCATTGAAAATATGTTCTAATTAGAGTAGCAGCATTTCTTGCTTCCTGTTTTTTCCTGTAAATGTTTTTATTTTGACCAGTGCTGGGGGGAGTGTGAAGAGGGTAGGTTGAAGACCACTAGCTGTCCACCAGAATCTATTTGCTCCTTTTTCCATAGTAATAGACATCCGGCTGGGCCATGACTACTCAGAAAGGCATCTCATCTGCCAGCTCCCCTTCTAGCAAGTCGTGGCCATGTTGACTAAGCCCCCGTCAATGGATCTGAGCACAGGAGATGTATGCAAGTTTTTGCCTTGCTTAAGAGTAAATCTCTAGCCCTGGACTTGTATTCTTTGTCTCTCCTCATTAACCAGAAATGCTTCAACAAGAGTCACCTTGGAAGCCACACACTGAAGATGGCAGTCACTATCCAAGGTCCCTGAATGACTGAGCAGAGCTATCCTTCTACTTGGAACACTGGCTTTGGACCACATTCCATTGGACCTTCTAATCGAATCCTACCAGTTCCTCATATCCTACAAGAAATCCCACTTCCTCCAAGAAATATCCACAAATACTTCCCTCTCCTTGACCATTGGTATCTGTCCCCCACAATTTTTGGACCTTAACTATATTATTTCCTACTCAATTCTATTTGGTGTTATCTTGTTTTTGTTCTTTATTTGGTGCATGCCTCTTGTCTCTCAAACTAGAAGGAGCTCTCAAGATGTGACACTCCATTTCTACTCCTGTTTCCCCAACAGCAAGCACAGCTGTAATGGACACTGAGGGGCCCCACACAAGCCCCCTTCACCAGGCTGCTGTGTTGGCTGCTATCAGCTCAGCTCTGCCCCCTGCCCCAGAGATTTGTCCTCAGCCAAATGTGAGCACATCTGGGAGGTTAAGTGCTCCTGTAGCAGCCAGCAGCCCCATAACTGACTGATGGGGGGTAGGAAAAGATAGCCACAAAAGTTAGGGCTAATTCTGTGATGAAAATTGAGCTTCAGAACCTTCCTGAGGAACCAGGCTGTTGCTAATCTACAATGAAGATCACTTCCTTGCTTAGCTTTCTTCCACTGTTCTGGCCTGCAATAGCTCACAGCTGCCACCTTTCACAGAATTGTCCTCAGCTGACGGTTATCACTCTCCTCACAACCCTCATTTGTTCCTACCTCCCTGGCAGGGTGGCCCAATGACTGACGGCTTTGGTGATAGAAAAGGCCAGCAAAGATGGCTCAGGGGAGTGTAATTCTACCATGTGGTTTACACCCCCTGTGTAACAGTTCCCTGTGGGTCAGCCAAAGCTAGACATGACCTGAGACACACTTTGTTTGACTCTTTCCCCTTCCTATCTACTTCACTCTCTCCTTTGCAGGTTCTTCCTGAAAAGCACTCCCTATCAATAAATGTCTGCATCAGGGTCTGTTTCTAGGAGACCCAACTTCAAACCGCTGGTGTAACTACTCTGCCATCATTTCCCCAAATCACTTTCTCCTTCATTTTCTGGGGACTGCTCAGATCCGTGCTCTGGACTGTGTATGCCATGGGACCTAAGTTGGGTTGAAGGTGGATAAAGGTGCTAGATCAAAAAGATCTGGGCTCTTGAAGTAATTGTAAGGAACACCTACTACATAGGGTTGTAATGAGGATGTTAAAAGCTAAACGAGTTCAAGTGTATAAAATGCTTAGACCAGTGCCTGACATGGAGTGAATGCTGTAAAGTATTATTGCAGGGATTTATTTGATATTTTTTGTTTACTTATGTATTCCAAGTTTGCGTAGGTGAGTGCTTGGCACATAGCAGGCACGCAATCAATATGGTTGAATGAATGATTATTGAAGTTTTGCTTTGAGAGCTCAAGGTGCTGTGCTGGGATTTGGCCAGCAGAGGGCAGAACCTGTGCAGACAAAGCTCCTAGGGGCTGAGTGCGATAGCGGGACAGAGCTCCTAGCCAACGGGCTGTGAGGACTGCCTGCATCGTAGAATATTAGAATGTTTACATTTTGCCCCCTTAAGATCCTAGAATTTTATTTGGTCCAACTCTGGGTGTGTGCAGTGAGATATGCTGAGCTTCTACTTTGTGAATTCAGAGACATTGGCCGTTCCAGGTACCAAGATCCCTGAAGTTGCCCTAGTGTCTGGAGCTCCTCTTTTGAACTGTGAGCTGCCCCATACTCTTTTCATAAATTCCCTATGTACTTATGCTAATATATATTGGGTTTCTGTAACTTGTCAAGCAAAATAATTTGAATTATCTTATTATCTTGTGAGTGTGAGGACTGTGTGAAGGGAAGCCCCTCACAGATGGGGACACTGAAGTCACAGCATAGCCACATCAGGCTTGCTCCCTGCTGTCTCCCCAACTGACCTGCTCTCTCCAGGAAGGTGTTCCCCTACATTTCTGCCTCCAAGCCTCCCTTGTCTTGTTCCCTTCATTCACTGTGCCTGTTTAGATATGTCCTATCTTTCAAGCCCAGTTCAAGTTCTGTCTCTCTCTGACTCCTCTAGATCTACTCGATCTCATTTCTCAAGATCCTTATAGCATTCATCACCTGACCATTCATTCTTACACTCAGTTGTGTTGCATATTTTATTTGGGAGTTTGGGCTAGGTGTTCTCTAAAGTCCTATCCGCTATAGACTTCTGAATCTGTTGTCTTCCCATATTTCACATCTCCTTAAGGGGGTCTCCATCTTCTCCCTCAAGAAGAGATGAGGAAGGGCTTGAGCACACATGGGGCTCAGCACAGATTTGCAGTCAACACAACTGCTTAGGGGAACAAATGTGTTCTGTGACTCTCCATTCAAGAAACAGGTAGGGATTTGTTTTTATTTTTTCAAAGCAGAAGTAGCTTTTTTCCTTTTATTATACAAGTAACATACTTAAGTAAGTCAAATATTACATAAATTTATAAAGTGGAAAGGAGAAATAACCCATAATCTTATTCCTCAGAGATAACTGCTATCAAAATATTCTTTCAAAGTTCTCCTATACACAAATATGTACATTTCAATGGAGCCTTCTGGGGACTGCATGGAGATTCCTTAAATTGAAATTGGACAAAGAGAACAGTGGGTGGTTCCAGCCTGGGATTTGGGGCAAGTAGCTTGTAAAGTGTTCACCCACCATTTGCATGTGTTAAATTGAACCATATGAAACTACTGATATTCAGCTGTTTCTGACCTACAAATACAGTGATTTCATATGGTTCAATATAATGTGTGTGAAGCCTAGAATGTCAGAACTGACACAGGATTAGAGGCTTTTAAGTATATTTCGTTATGTTGAAGAAGAAAAAGGATCAGAGAGAGAAGTGTCTAGTCTAAGATCATACACCACATTAGTGGTAGAATCCCAATTGGTTCTCTTTCCACTGAACCATGCAAAGCCTTTCATACTCTTTTTCTTTTAATATAATTATCTTCTAGGTGTCATGATAATCTTCTAGAAGCAGATTTCAATTTGTACCAGCAAATTTCTCATAGAACTCAATCAAAACGGGAGAGGCTGTTTAGAGGGAGTTTAGTCCCCTTGACTGGAGGTGTGACTGGGAAGGGCCCTGTGAATCGGCTCAAAACGCACCTGCACCACGGAGCTAATGAGGCATAACATTCAGGGCCCTGACTCGCAGGGGCTCCTTCCTAAGGTCTTAGCAGGGGTCCTTAGCAACGCATCAACATGGTGATATATTTTTGTCATATTTGCAAAAGTAAGATACTTTTGAATTATCTTTCTTAAAGAGAATTCCCAGAATTGTATAAGCTTCAGGCCTAGATCCACTGCTGTGTGGCACTGAGCTTTGAAAAGCACTAGGCAAGCACTAGCAGAGGTCCTGGGTTCCAACCATGGCACCACCTTGGCCCAAATGGGCAGCATGGCACTTGCCCTGCTTTACTTACTCACGGGAGGGTGAGTGATGGGGGTAAAAATCACAAATGTTAAATGCATTGAAATGTGAACAAATATAAATAAATAATATTACTCAGGTTTCCTATCTATGATGTGGGATAATCATCACTGCTTCTCATAGCTGTTGAAGATAGCACATAAAAAAATGTCCCCAGAGCATCTTCCTGTTTCATTTCCCTCTGCTACAACTTCCTTTTCTCCTTTCTCTGACCCCCAGCCCCCCAAGATTCCAGCCACTGGACCAGTCATTGGTCATGTTCTTTTGTTACTTCTATGTGTTTGTTCATGGCTGCTACCATTTATACAGTCTATCTTTGCCTGGGAAAAGTCCTTCTCCACAAAGCCCAGGTCTGCCAGCCCCTCTCCTTCCACCCTAGTGATGACCTCCCCTTAGCATTGTTTCTTGTTGGTCTTACAGAAAGAGACACTGAGGCCTGTTGTGGTCCATAGCTGAGTTCTGGAGCTCCAGAAGTGATCCCCAGGTGTCTTGATCTTCCACCATCCCCGGCCCCCTCACATTAGATTATAGACACACGGTTCTTGATGTACATATGATAGGGGTCACTACGCTTGTCCACTTTGCGAGAGCGGGTGTATCCTAGGATGAGGCTGCCCACAGTGACAGCAAACAGGAACATGACAAAGAGAATGTACATGTAGGAGTTGTCGTCACGGCTAGATAGGCTGGCCCGCCGCTCCTCAGTCTGGTTGTCTGGCCCCGGCCCTGGCCCTGGCCCCAGCCGACAGAGGAAGTTGCCGTGAAGGGTGGCATTTAGAGCCTTCAGCACAGCGTGCAGGCTCTCGTACCAGGTCTCAGTCCCATTGGTGGTCTCCATAGCAACAGGTTGAGGTGGGGGAAGAATCGGAGGATGCTCTGGTGGGGAGAGAAAAGAGAGGGGATGGCTTCTGTTACCTGCAGCTTGAATGTCCTCCCCATTCCTCAGATCCCAGCTCAAATCCCAGCGTCATAGCTTATTCTAGCTACTTGTTTACTTGTTTGTCTTCTCCACTGGACTACAAGCTCAACGAAGGCACGGATATGTCTGTTTTACTCAAGCACTTATGACAGCACTCAATAGGGGCTCGATAAACACTTGTAGAATAAAGCCTTCCCTGACCATCGTAATCCACATTCATCTCTCCTTTCTTTGGATTCTTTAAATCACTGAATTTTAGGTTAAAAGGACCATGGGGATTATTTAACCTAACTCCTTTAATTTTACACAAGAAACTGAGGCTCAGAGAGAATAAGTGGCTTGTGTATGATCACATGGTATACTGGAGGTACAGCCAAGATAGAAAGCCCTGTTCTTCGATGGTTAGCTCAAAGTTCCCTCCACTTCCATGCTAGCTCTCAGCTGGCCTGTGCAGCACCATTAGAAGACATTTGTCAGAACTCTCCTTCAACACGGTTCTTTTTATGGACTCCACAGATACCACTTAGGAGATGCTTAGAGATGGCTTAGATTTCACCCTACCTGGAGGCCAGAAACTGGATCATTTGGCCTCTCAAGCATCCTATTTCCCAAACACTCTAGGTACTCCTAGCTATTTGGGGGAATTCTGCCAGAAAGAAGGTGGCCAGGGGTGCAGGGAAAGGTTGATGACCACTGCAGGCACTGGAGAGGAGAAGAACATTCTGGGCTTGAGGATGGGGAGGTGAAAGGAGTGCTCAGTCTGATTTGGGGTTTACCCACCCCAGAGAGACTAGACACAGGCACCTCAACTATCCTGCCTTCCGAAATAAAGTCACTATGTACCTGGCATATAATAGGTAATAATAAATGTTCCTTTTCCTTCCTCTCAGAGATCCTTAGTCTATAATACAAAAAAAAAACAAAAAAAATCTTAAGACAGCCTTGCATCTTTGTTTTTGAAAAACCATACGTCATTCCCTTTAAACAAGGCTCCACACTCACTTCCTTCAGGAAGCCTCCATCCAGCGCTCCCCACCCCTCAACCATACTCTACAAACTTTGTCATCGCAGCCTTCCCTTCCCCCAGCACTTACATGTCATGCAATGAGTGGCTGTCCTCTTATGTTTGCTAAGGGTATCATTAGACCACATGGTCCTGGTCAGCAGGGCTATGTCTCTCCCCCAAGCCTAGGGGACTTCACTGAGTCTGGCTGGGTGTTCTTTTCTCAGGGGACTGTCCTAAGACTGGCTAGGTGCTCTCCTTTCCCAGGGGGCTGCCCTGAGACTGGCTAGGTGCTGTCCTTCTCTCAACAGTGTCCAGGAAAGATGTCCACTTTAAGAACTTCTCTACTGGCCAAGGGCTCACATTGGTTGGGCTCACAAGGGCTTGACTGGTTCCAAGGCCCTCTATCTAGGTAAAACTGTCAACAAACCAAAATTAACAAACATGATTATTAACCATGGATCTCTCCACCAGAAAAAATGATAGTTCTGACCATGATAAATATTCATGAATGAGGCTAGGTGCCATGGCTCACACCTGTAATCCCAAAACTTTGGGAGGCCAAGGCAGGAGGATCGCTTGAGCCCAGGAGTTTGAGACAAGCTTGGGAAACACGGCAAGACCCCATCTCTACAAAAAATTTTAAAAAATTAGCTGGGTGTGGTAGTGCATACCTGTAGTCCCAGCTACTCAGGAAGCTGAGGCAGGTGGATCACTTGAACTCAGGAGGTCAAGGCTGCAGTGAGCTATGATTGTGCCACTGTACTACAGCTCCAGCCTGGGCAACACGGCAAGGCCCTGTCTCTAAAGAAAAGAAAAAAAAAATTCATGAACAGCTGTCTGAATGCAGAAGTTGTGGAGATGAATCTAAATAATACAGCAATCACCTAGAACTGGCCCACATTTCATACAAAGCCTTTTGGCCCTCTGCTATCTAGTACTTGTGCAGTCTTGTCTGGATGGAGGAGGGGAACAAAAACAAGAGTTCACAGAGTTAAGATCCAGGAGGCACAGGTTCTCTCATCCACTGTCCCACTCTACAGGTAAGAAATGTGTGCCCTGAGTGGTCCAATGGCAAGTAGGAGCAGCATGAGTAAATGAATGACTCAATGACTCCTTCAGTCAGTCATCATTTATCTGGGCCAGGCCCTGTGCTGGGAGCTCAGGAGATTAGACCCAGTCCCTGCACTCAGGAGCTCATCACTAGCTCTATTATAATGCAGGGGACAAGTCAGGAGCTACTGAGGCTTAAAGGAAGAAGTGATGAATTCCGATTAGGGTTTAGAGAGTGTTCCCACTGATGGAGGCATTTGAGTTGGACCTTGAGGGGTTTTTAGGAAGTAGAGAAGGAAGCAGATGAGCAAAGGCATGATGACGAGTGCATAAAATGTTTAGAAGAATGGAAAGTAGCATGAAGAGATTGGAGTGTAAGATGTATGGAAGGATAAGATAAGATGTGGGACAGGAAAGACTGGCAGGAGCCAGGTCATGGAGGGCTTTGAGTGCCAGGCTACAAAGCTAACTTTATCCTGTAGTTGGGGAACAGCCATGGAATGGCTGAATGGCTTTTCTTTTTTTTGGTAGAAACATTGTCTCACTCTGTCGCCCAGGCTGGAGTGCAGTGGCATGATCATAGCTCACTACAGCCTCAAATTCTTGGACTCTAGCGATCCTCCTGTCCCAGCCTCCCAAGTAGCTGGGATGACAGGTGCATGCCACCATGCCCAGCTGATTTTTAAATTTTTTGTAGAGATGGAGTCTTGCTATGTTGCCCAGGCTGGTCTCGAACTTCTGGTCTCAAGCAATCCTCCCACCTCAGCTACCCAAAGTGCTGGGATTACAGGTGTGAGCCACCATGCCCAACCTGGAACAGTATTTTAAAGGGGGATAAAATGATCAGATCTATACTTAGAAAGTAGACTGGCTGTTATGTAGACTGAAGGGGCAGGAAATGAGGCAGGGAACCCAGCTGCAAGGGTCTTAAAACAGTTTAGGTGTAAGATGCTGAGTCCTGAGCTGGGGCAGAGGGATGACAAAGCAGAGGGCAGATGTGTGATGTGAGGAGGGAATGGCTAATGTGGGGCTGGAAGGAGGAAGGGCCTCAGACAATTTTATAGGCAGACAGTGTGTGTGGAGGAGCCCACTCTGAGGGAAATAAGTCACTTTCCCTGTTTGGGCTTCATTTTCCTCATCTATCAGAAAAGATCATCATCAGGAGTTGTTGTACAGTGGGTATAGAGTTTCAGTTTTGCAAGATGAAAAAGTTCTAGAGATCTGTTGCACAACAATGTGAATATAGTTAACACTATGGAGTGTACACTTAAAAATGGTTAAGATGGTAAATTTTATGTTATGTGGTTTTTTTGTTTGTTGGTTGGTTTGTTTTTGAGACAAGGTCTCACTCTGTTACCAAGGCTAGAATGCAGTGGTGTCATCACAGCTCACTGCAACCTCCAACTCCTGGGTTTTAGCAATACTCCTGCCTCAGCTTCCTGAGCAGCTGGGACTATAGGCGCATGCCACCACATCTGGCTAATTTTTCTATATTTCGTAGAGACAGGGTCTCACTCTTGCTCAGACTGGTCACGAACTCCTGGCCTCAAGCGATCCTCCCACCTCAGCCTCCCAAAGTACTAGGATTACAGGTGTCAACTACTGCACCTGGCCTACGTTATGTGTTTTTTACCACAATTAAAACACACAAAAAAGATTATCTTCCCTGCCCTGCCTCCCTCAAGGCTTGCTGTGATACACTTTTATTATGTTGAAGAGGATTTAAACAATTATTTTTTTAAATTTTTGAGAAACAAATATGTACACACAGTTAAAAAAAAAAAAAAAAGAAAAAGGAAGCAGTACATACAATGAAGATGAAATCTTCTTGTTCCTCTTCATCCAGGGCTCCTTCCCAGGGCATTCACTATTACCAGTTTTCTTAGATATCATTGGAAAGGGGGTTGTAACTGATAGGGGAGAGGGAGGGCAATCTCAATCTGGAAAACTCACCAAACAGCAGGCAAATTCGCTGGGTCTGAGTCAGCTTCAGGAATTTCCTTGTGGACGCCCTAAGGCTCCTCAGCCCCTCACATCTAGGGTCTCAGAATTGACTTGAGGAGCTGGGAAGGCCCAGAGCTGGAAAGCAGGAGAGAAGGCAGAAAAGGAAGAAACTGGACACACAGAACAAATGTCAGAACCAGGGTGGATCGCTCAAGGCCAGGCCGCAAGTGTTGTGCAATAGTCTTGCCGTGGGCTCTGACCCGCTCCACTGCCCCTCCCCTTCCTGCAGCAGCTGGGTCAGGCCAGCCTAGGGTTGCAGTTACAGGAATTATGCAGTAGCCAAGGGGCATGCGACTGCTGTCCCCCAACTCCAGGCTCACAATGTCTTAATTGGATGACTTCATGAGAAACCTCAGTTTAACATATGGGCTCCCACTCGTGGATCAGCTAACAGTACCTAAAACATTCCCTTTCCTAAGGCACCTTAGTAAGAGCCTTTAGAATCCCAGGGGAATGATGTGAGTGGTAGAATAGCAGTTGGCATTTGGGTTGATATTTTATACAGGAACAAATGGTATATTATCCCTCAATCTATTTGGATAATGAGGGTATAAGCATGGTCACAGAATTAACACTATCTGTAGCATGGCTTTGTTGTGAAAATTAAAGAACATTATGCAGTGCTTGGCACTAGACACTCTGCAGATGGTGGTGGTTTTATTTTTGTAGAGCAGAAGCTGGAAGGGCCTTCGGAGTACGTCTAGTCTAATGCCCTCATTTTACAGTGAAGAAAATGGAAACCCAGGGAGTTGTCTTTTTCAGCTGTTACTTGTGTGACTTTGAGCATGTGACTTCCCTTTTCTGGGCCTCAGCTTCTGTCTGCATCTGTAAAATGCAGGAGTCCCAGTCAGCTGTAACACCAGTGACAGTGCGAATCACGGAACCGTGCTGTGAGATTATGAGAGATGAAGAGAAGCTGGTGGGAGAGGCATTCTGGGGCTTTCTACAGCCTCTCAAATCCCAGGATAGAGAAGGCTGCAGACTTTTCCCTTGCAGGTTAAGTTGCTTCTGAGCCCTGAGACTTATACCTTATCTTCCATCCTAGATAAACCAAAGGCCACATTGGTTGACTTGTTCATTTTCCTCTTAACAGCTCACCTGCCAGGGTGATCTAGCCTGGGAGAGAAAGACTGTGTGGGAATTCAGGGCACAGCGTAGTGTGGAGGATGGGTGGGCTCTGAGGTGGGGATCGGTGAGGGGAGTAGAGATTCATCAGCCTCTCTGGATAGACCCGGGTGTTTGTGGTGGGGGGAGGGCCTGGGTGTGAGGGTATCCCGTTTGGGTCAGGAGAGGCAGAGAGCTGAAGAAGGGACAGGTTGGTTCTCTATGATCTGCCTCTGGGTCTCAGGTCAGCGACTGGCAGTCAGCAACACTGGGGAGTTTGCTCTTCTTTCTGAGCTCCTGGGCTTCCCATTCCAGGAGAGTCACTGATTACGAAGCTCCTTGGATGGGGGAGATGGAGCCCATGCCCTGGAGAGGCCTGGACTAGAGACAGGAGATAGACTAGTTAGGAAGGAGGGTGAACAGTTAGTGACCAAGCTGAAAGGGATTTTAAAGATCACCTAGAATCTGGATTCTAGGCCAACTCCTCCTTTTTTTAGATAGGAAACTGAGGCTCAGAAAGAAGTGACTAGTCCAAAATGACATGGCTCATATGTGGCAGAGTTCAGATGAGAACCCAGATCCCTGGGGTGCTGTTCAGGTGCTCTTTCCACTACAAATGGCAGTGTTCCCTTGCATCTGAGCTGCATATCACACCAAACAGCCTCCTGGGGGTCATGGGGCATCGTCTCCTCTCACTCCATTACTACTGCCTCTTCCTGCTCTGTGGATTCTCACCAATCTTAGTCAAGGATCCAGTGAGGGGGGGAAGTTGGTAAGTTTTGGAGAGGAGTTAGCCTTCCTTTATAGTCTCATCTCCCATGGCCTCTCCTGCTCCAGACCTCCTCTGAGCCCCTAGACAAGCCAGGCTCGCTCTCTTCCTCCACACTCGGTTCCCGCTATTTCCCTCGCACTATGTTCTCACTAATGTACTTGCCTTGAACTGTAACTCGGAACTCTAACTTGCAGGTTGAGGCATAATGCTGTGATCTGAAAAATGAACTAGGTATCTTAGCAAGATTTGCTTTCAGGTTTCTCTGGGGGGAGATGAAATTCCACCATGGTTTCTGTTATTCTCCCCATTGCTCTGCTTCAGCTACTCTTACAGAATGTATGTCTTAACGTGTCTGGAAATGAGGCATAGAGAGGCAGGTAGGAGAAGGTACACAAAGCAGGTAGGGGATCCAAAGACAACTCCTGGGATGCATAGTTTTGCCACCGTCCTCTCAGTGGTCTTGTCACTACCTGGGACTGGAGGGCTAGTGGAGCAGGAGAGGAATTGAAGTAGTGGATCTTAACATCTAGAGGGAAGGACACAGGAATACAATCTGAGCAGGGAGGGATCTTAACGATCACGTTGTTGGTGCAACTCTCTCATTCAACCGATGGGAAGATACACCCCCCCACCCCAGAAAATCATTTGCTCAAGGTCTCACAGCCCAGTAGTGGCAGAGATGGGACCAGAAACCAGGTATCTTGACTCCCCCTCCACAGATCTTTCCACTATAACTTCCCTTCTGCCTGAAGGGTAGGGTCTAAACTC